GCCAGACATGTTTTGGTGATGCCAATTCAGCCTCATAAACAATCCATCCTCATAAACATCCTCATGAACATCCACTTCCTAAAGAATATTTTTCTAAAATAAATACAAGTGAAATTGTAGCCCTACCAAAACCAAGGGGAGGTTTGAAATTCTGCTATTCAGACCACAATTTTACTGTTCATGTTCAAGGCCCAATCTTAGACAAGACTTAGCCTGAAGCCCCAGGATCCCCTTAGTTTCTGACACACAAGAGACAGAGCTACCATCAGCGCCTCCTAGAGTCTGACCTACAAAAGGTCCCCTGTAGGAAGTGATCCAGAATGGCAGCTGAAGCAGTACAAACATAGGATGATCAAGGACATATTTTTGCTTTCTCATAAGCTTTGCCCTCATTTTCCAAAGTTAGTAGGACTTACCTACTATAACAATGGTGCTCAACCTTTTTGGCCAATGGGACAGATGAGCACTGCCTGATCCCTCCGTGGGCCAGATCCAGTGGGGCCCCATCCAGCTGTGCAGTGGGAGAGAGGGGCAGCCCGGCCCCAATCCAGCTGCACAGTGAAAGAGAGCTTGGGCCAGCCAGCCCCAACATGGCGCATGCAGAGGGCATGGTTCAGCACTGCTGAAGGAAGGGGGCATTGCCCAGCACTGTGAGCAGAAGAGGGGGAACATGACCCAGCCCTGAGAGGAGAAGGGGGCATAGCCCAGGCCCAACCCAACAGACCGAAGAGAAGGAAGTGTGACCTGGCTCCAACATGGCAACCAAAGCTTGCTGCAGTTCAAAGGGCAATGGTGGAGAAGAAATGAAAGGACAACCTTTGGGGGACATTGGGGGAAATTTTAGGGAAGCAGCTATGAGAGAAGGTCATAATGTAAAGTGATTGGGGAAGGTCATAGCACTTTTAGGCTTGGAATAATTATCTACATTTAGTATGAATTCTTGAGAGTGAAATCTTTTCTCCGTCTCCTTTTTCTGTTTGTTGCTTATTTAAAATGTAAGCATCTTAAAGTTGAATTTATGGCATTGTAGGCCACAAGTTTTGTAAAGAAATGAAGTTGAAGCTTGTGCAAAGATGCGGGTTTCCTGGGAGTCCTTGTTGGTGGTGGTGGTGGGAAAGGGGTTATAAGAGAGATCAAATGTAAGAAGCTGGTGTTTCTTGCTAACCTATATGGAAGCAGCTTCCTAAAAGATTAAGATAGTTGCCTTCTTGTTAATATTTTAATATTAAATACAAATTCAATTTAATTTAGCATACTTTGCATATTTTGGCACTATATTAATATTTATACAGCAACAGGCAGCTCAGAAGAATGAAAGTTATTCATTGATTTGGTTCTTTGTTCCAGTGCTGGGCTGCTACCCAGAGTGAAAAAAAGCAGTGAAACCAATAGTAGATGTAATTATTAACCTTCTATACAGCCTACTGTTCAACTTTGTAACTTATATAGAAGTTCTTCATGCTGTTTATCCATATGCCCCATTCATTTTCTACTAATCCTCAAATGCTCTCAGTCATAGGCATTGTAATAAATTTGTGGACATCTAGGATTTCACCTGAATTACAAATAAAGCTACATCAACTCATTGCAAAATAGAGCTGATGAGTCAGTTGATCAGTCTAGAAGTGTCCCCAGATCCTTGTCCTAAATAAAAGGAAAAATTCAGCAAATTAGCAAGAAGATGGATTATTTTTCATTATCTTTCACCACCCAAAAGAGGTATGGACCTATTTCAAAGGTGGGGTCTCCAAGGTACCTCTGAGATTTCTGAGATTCATTTTGCATGATACAACTAAACTCTATCAGGGTTGCAAAGTGGTTTCAATATATTGGTTTCTTCTCTGTATATTCAGTTCACAGTCAATCGATCTTTTCTGCAGAGCAGAATGAGAGCTTTTGGCATCAATGAGTGCTTTTGTTCTCTCTGTAGGATGTAGAATTGGTTAATCAGATGGCTTACAAGAAAGGGGCATTTTCATGTCAACTAGATATGCAGATTTTGGTAAAATTTTTGTACCCTTAGAGTGAAATATTTGGAGTTTTTAAACAAAAAATAGGACTTTACTACTTGGCAGATCCAGGAACATGTACTCTTCCAGTATCTCCTCTACTTCAGAATGATGACTGCAGTACGCATAGTCACATGATGTGCTTCCTGCATGATGCACACAAACTGTGGTTACTGCTAATATATGTGTTACATGTTCCTTAGCTATTATTAGGTCTAAAACAACAGTTCTTGGGACTCATCCTCTGTGTTCAGTGGAAGAGGAAGTGACAGACTGCCAGAGTCACTCCCAA